CTTCTGATGGTTGTCTCCTGACTTCTTTCTGAACAGCGACCGATGAGACGATGACTGTCGTATTGATGCCTCCGCGAAAATTGGGGAAGTTGATTTTGAGCAAACAACCATGAATTGATCGTTCAATCTTCAACTCCACTGACAATCTGGGAAAATTAAAGCTTGAAGTCAATTCTCCTATATAACTTTGTTGCGAACAGCACCCTTGGCTTAAAGATTATTGATGTATTTTGTTGAGATCAGTGATATATTTATTCCATTTTTTCAGCAGTCTTATCGTAGTTTTATAACAGGAAAGAAATTTGATCGTGGAGGCGAAAATTAGATAAGGTCATGTTGGGTTGTTTTACTGCATCAAATGGTGCCGAGGTCGATTCCAGAATTCTCCATTTGCTCCATTTGTGTCTGCATGGCAGACTGTATTCGTAAGTTGAGTAAAATGTTGAAAACTGTTTGAAGACCAGTTGCTTCTTCATTTCAGATCATGAATACTCATTTACAGCATGTTCTCCAGCGTCTTCAAATGGTAGAAATGGATCGTTCCTGGAATTTGAGTGATTATGGGATAAATGGTTTGGAATTAATCATAGCAGTTCGAATACAGTTAAACATGCAGAGAAGTACTTTTGATTCAGCAACCGGTGAATTTTTTATTCTTTTCGATCTAGTACCAGAATAACTGCGAACCATTCCATTCAATATGTCGAATAAGGCACGCAGGAGGAGATCATTACCATGGAATGAGGCAACTTGATCTGAGATGCAGCTTTCAGCATGTTTTCGTTATATCATAGATATCCAGGTTTATTGGCGCTGTAGAGGCAGTGATTTGGATTATAACGTATTCTACATAGTCTCCGTGCCCATTTGAAATATACATGTGCTTTGAAAGGATTACTTTGTTGGCTCCTACCCCCACTGAGTGTTAACAACAGCTGCTGTGGGTTTATGTATTTCCTCGCCTTTTTGGATAAAATATCGCCGCATTCTTTTTGGGTAGGAGACCAGTTGGTGGATTATAAATGATATCCAAGTAACTTTTATCTTTTCATGTGGTGTTGCGGTAAGTTTCTACCTTGTTTTCTCATATTTCATTCGTATGTTGATTATGGTTCGCCCTTTGTATCAGGTAGACATAGTTTGATCGACTCTTGGTTGAATGGGTGTTATTGTCATGACTGCTGCTTTTTTGTCTGGAATTATAAATAGAGGCAAAACAAACAACAGGTGTAGTCTCTGAGTTCATACATTAAATGGGCCTATGATTTCTGAAACTCTTACATGGGAATTACCATTGGTATCAATTACAAACTCACTTAGTGTGTCATTAAGTGCCTTTTCAAAGGAGGCCAATGTGCTTGCTAGTCGTATTTTCTCAGGTAGTTTGTTCCATATTTGGGCATACCTAATCAAGAAAAACTTTTGCCTGGTGGCTGTTTTACATGGGACAACACTTTTCATGTTGACCCTTCTTCAGCCTATAGCACTTAGTCTTGGAGTTAGGCGTGAGATTGTGCTGTGGGTATGCTTGTGGTGTGTTGGTTTTTCTGTTTGTTTTCCATTTCAGCTCTGTCCGTGTGACCCAGGTTCTCGCAGTGGCATCCAAGTCAACGTGTATTAATCGTGAAGGAAAAAAGGGATGGATCCCTTTTTTGCCGGGGAGTGTCAATGGAGTTGAAGATTGAACGATCAATTCATGGTTGTTTGCTCAAAATCAACTTCCCCAATTTTCGCGGAGGCATCAATACGACAGTCATCGTCTCATCGGTCGCTGTTCAGAAAGGAGAGTAAAACATCGTCAGAAGTAATATTATGATTTATTACTGTAATATTTGTTCACAGACCTTAGTCATACTTGATTTATATGTTGGTGTAACAATACAGAATACTCAAGTCAACAATTGGTGTTTTGGTTTTTTCGTCCGTTATTACTAAGCGTTTCTGAGAAACTTCAAGGAACAGCGTGAGCCCGAGCGTAGCAAGAGCTGGGCATTAACGGTTTACGAGACGTGACTGACAACCACCCTCCCTCCTTTTCTGATGATAGGTTTTGAGACTGATTATTATGGCTACCGTAAATATACTGCTTGGTACCAGACATATTCGTACCTCATATTCCATTTCCCAAGCCTTCTTAATGAATGCTTCCAATACGTCTCCACGTACATTTTTATGAACATATTATATATGTACGCATGCGTCCTAATGAACAGATTACTTTATTAGAAATTAAAAACTTAAAGAGTAAAAGAATAGGTTTTGTGAATAGTGGAGCAAGATTCAGCAAAACACCATAGTTAGGGTTCAATGTAGGCAGTAGGTAAGGTCGGTTGGCAGGACTTAGTGTACTAAATTATCATGACAGTCTTATATATAGTAAACATTTGACATTGCAAAGTAACGTGCCTACACATATTATAAAAAGATATTAACACAACTAACAAAATGTCAGCATTTGGTTAACAATACTGCAGAAGGGTAGTTAGTCTTACAGGTAGCCGTAAATTAAATCAATCTATATATGGTGGGAGCATAATCAATGCTATAATTCGTATTATCAAAGAATACATTAGGCTCAATAACTGAGTGTTATAAGGGAAATAAGAGTGGTAAACCGGAAGAACATTTGCTGCGTAAATATTTTAATCATTTTAAGTATTTTAATGACAATCTAATTTCAAGTATTGAACATGCATAATCACTAAGTATTATTATGTTAGTCTAGGAACTGGTGTACTTTCTATAGTTAAATATTGAAATGCCATTGTTTCACCACTCTGCAAGCAGTTGAGATCTTTTAGACGGGCTAGGATGGACATGTTAATCTGCTTTTCTAGGCTACTTTTGAAACTGTCAGTCCTTTCACAGGATCTAATCTCTGAGGGTAGTTGGTTCCAAAGTTTGCAATATTTAACGGTGAAGAAGTTAGCTCTAGTGGTGAGTTTATGGGTGTTAACCTTGAGAAGGTAGTTATGGTTGCGTAGTCCATGCGATTTAGGATTAGGCCACGTTATGGATTCGTTACTGTTACAGTGCCTTCTTAAAACTTTGAATAAGAGAAATAAATTGCAATTCACTCTCATTAAACATAAGGGTTCTGAAGCCAGTCAAATACATCTGTCAAGGTATTCTACTAGCTGATCATAGACTAATATATATTTCGTGAGGAATATTTGCAAATCAAAAACATATTTTCTCTATGCTCATTAAAAGATGCTGCATAAGTGGCCACAAATTAAAGTTTGTGGGAGTGCATCTAATATGGTTTATATGAGATCTCCAGTCTCTGTCCACGAAATGATTTCGGAGAGGATATTCAAACTTTTAAGTCTATCCCTGTAGGATAAATCACTGTTACCGTGAGTCGTTCGTGTGGTCATCCTCCAAACATCCATCTAGAAGACATTGTTCGAACAAGGGTTAGTTGGCTGGGTATAGCTTTCTAATGCCGACCTCACCAGAGATGTATATATTAAGTGAGGAAGGTTTCAGTGGTGATTCTGGTGGTGGTATTTTGTATATTGAGCATGTGGATTTGAAACCTTGGAATGCCAACGCGTGAGTGTGTCTTAGATTTTAGTCCATTATTTACTATGACACCTACATCTGTGTACTTCTGGACTGATGAGATGTCATTTCTGTACATTCCTCAGTCCATTCATGCCTTTCTAAATATGATTATTATCATTCCCTTGGGTTCTGAGTGGATGATAGAGGGTCTCAGCAACACATCTCCATTTCATCATGTTCTCTGCAGTTCTGCTTACCTGGCTCTGTGATTGCTTAGAAACTCCAATCTCCTCACACAACCTCTTCCGTTCTACCCTCTCGAGGCTTTGCCTGAAGCGTAATGTTTTCCAACGGCTTTCTCAGCATGTAACTGATGCATTTCCATTTCCTTCGGCATATTTCTCAGGCAGTGGCATGTTGGTTGGCAGACTTCCTTGTTTCTAATCCTTCCGCAGCTGGCCGTCTGGCCTTCAATATGTGATCAGCGAAGTAGTTGGAGATGTTGACAGAAGTGTGAAGTGGCCTGTTGACAATGATTTTCGTGACACGCAAACTCTAAGTCTCTGAACACTAATGGACTAACTGACTGACTTGACATTAGGTCTGCAAATCCAAATCGTGTCGTTCATGCCTGGTGTAGTAGATTTGTTCATCACTGATTTCAAAGTGATTGAGGTGTGTCGTGTCTTTCCAATTCAGCTTGACTTTAGCATCTTCATCCGTGCTGTCGTTGGTTGAGTCGGCGCTGGTTAGACAAGTGAAAGGTGTGACTGAGTCGCATCGTGTCACCTCACCTTGACTGACTAGAAGGCAGTGTTTATTCACGAGTAAACTGTGGCATTCTCGTGATTCCGTTCATAAGATTATCACTGGGCCCTTTCGAGGATTATCTCGAACCACCTATGCTACTCCTAGCCATCCGAAAGTTGACAGGCTTGTAAACATTCCTCTCCTTCAGAAAATATTATCGTGGTATCTCGCCGCTCAGCTTGTCATGTTTCCGTTCCCATTTGGATCCGAGGTATCACTTAAGCAACCAAAGTGTGAAGTGGGTGTTGTCGGAAGTGCCAGTATTGACAGCTCATATCAAATATTGGGGCAGTGGAAGTGTTAAATTGATCTGTCGCCCTCCGTCTGCGCTTAGTTACACACATCCAGGTAGGGATCAAGGGATTTGATGACAAAGGCTCCAGATGTTTGCTAATGTGTGTCATTGCCTTTTGCAGAAGAGGCAAACCATTCCTCCTGCAGAGCAGTCAAAGTCTAGGAGATATCATGGAACTCATTTCATTTCGGTGCTGATTAAAATATCTCAGATATCACTGTGACCAAAACTTCAACTGTTGGTTCTCACTATCAACCATTGAAAGTTGAAAGTTGGCTGTTTGAATCATCCCTGGTTGAAGGCGGCAATCTACTCATCACTTTGACTGTGGCGTGGTAAGTGGTGTCATTCTATCTAATCAGTTCGCCTGCTAGATGCGTGCTAAATGGAGGAAAAAGAGGATGAGGAGGTTGAAACGCAAAAGGAGGAAAATGAGGGAAAGGAGCAAGTAATCAGACTGTCTTCTGAAACCTCTGTACTTCTGTGGAATGTCAAATAAACCTTTCTCACACTGATGTCTTCTTTGTGCTTTGGATAGTGGGGAACGTGACTAGTCTTGACCGTTGTATATAGCACCTTGTAAACCAATAAACTATCTGATTGACTGCGACTTCTGAGTTGTTTGTGTTAGTAGAGAGGTCATATATCTCGTCATTCTTACTGTAGGCTGAGGAACCAGAAGAAGAGGTTGAATATTTGGATGAAGACGTGGAGTGGATTGCAGATGAAGATCGGCCAGCGGACAACTCTGATGAATCGGCTAACGGTGAGTGGTGATGTCGACTTGAGAATATTTTTATTTAGGTCAGTTTATGTATTGCAGTAGATGTGTCAGGGACTCATGCTTTTATGCTTTCGGAGCTTGGCGTTGTAGATGTGGTCGGTATTGGCTGCTTAGAGATAGAATCCTCATTCATCAGAGGATATTTCCGTGTGGGGTTTGTTGAGTGCTTATCACTATTTGAGAGAGATGGAGTAGCAGGAGGAATGGGCTTTCAGTATCCTCTCATAGGTGGAATAAATCTAGGCGTTAGATGATACCCTGGAAGACACATGATATTTGCAGTTCTTGGGATGTCGAGATACACAGGTGTCTTTGCAGCCTATCAGGGAGCGGCCGCACTTCAGTTTGTCGTACATGTGTGTTAGTACAATACTGTGGTCCCGATGAGCATTGTCTCGTCAATACTATCCCTCTCTAGTGAGTGGCTGAGATCTGGTGTCCCATGGGTCGGCAGGACCATGTGTCCGGCGGTTATCGTATCGCAACCATTGGTTTGTTAGTTCAGGAGTGAGTATAAGTGCATCACATTGCAATCATTATTGTTAGACGTGTAGTTGTCATTAGGACCCGGTTCTCGAGTTGACTAGGTTGACTGTGCAATCCCTGGTGAGCCCTTCATCGTTGTAGGTCACTCAAAAACAGGTGGAGACGTCTCACACTATGCGACTTCCCATGTCCATTGTGGCCTTTGCTTAAGATTTGAGTGCTGCTGGCACTACACTACTTCACCGTGCTTCATTTTAAATTGTCGGTGTTATGGATGGTTTCATGAGATATTAGGCGGACAGTATGGACTGAATGAACTTGTGGAAATGCAGATCGACTGAGTGGTACAGAATTAGAGACGGGCTGGTGTTAAAACAGGTGTTGAGTGAAACCGGTGTCCCCATCGATCACAGTTCTATGGAATGTCAAGTATGTGAGTGATGGTTGCTTGAGGAGCTGGATTCAACTGCCATTTTGGTCATCCTCCAACATCAGGCCAGAGACAGTTCACAGTGTCATTGATATTTTAGCAAGCAGAGACACCAACTTCTGAGTCGACATTAAGAATGATGCCTCTGATATCCAGAAATCTCCTGAAGGATTACAATCTGGAGATATGTTGACATTTACGGGACTGCGAATAACAATGTGACTGGTTGAAGGTGTCTGAGTGTAGGCAGCACAGTGGTGGTATGTAGGGTAGGAAGTGCAGACAGACAGCATGAATTTAATGGTTGTAATACCGACATTCCAGTGTTGTGGATCTGTCTCTGTGGGCAGTGTTATCCGACCCTGGATAAGGTCGGTAGGCAGCTGGTAGTGATCAAATCAAAACTTGGCATCAATTGAAGAAATCGTGGGCAGCCAGTTTGAAACCCGTAGGCTGGAATGGGCTTTCTGGTTGAGACTCTCAGGATCCGAAGAACCGATGATTTGAGGGTGTCTCTAATATGGCTTATATGAGATCTCCAGTCTCTGTCCACGAAATGATTTCGGAGAGGATATTCAAACTTTTAAGTCTATCCCTGTAGGATAAATCACTGTTACCGTGAGTCGTTCGTGTGGTCATCCTCCAAACATCCATCTAGAAGACATTGTTCGAACAAGGGTTAGTTGGCTGGGTATAGCTTTCTAATGCCGACCTCACCAGAGATGTATATATTAAGTGAGGAAGGTTTCAGTGGTGATTCTGGTGGTGGTATTTTGTATATTGAGCATGTGGATTTGAAACCTTGGAATGCCAACGCGTGAGTGTGTCTTAGATTTTAGTCCATTATTTACTATGACACCTACATCTGTGTACTTCTGGACTGATGAGATGTCATTTCTGTACATTCCTCAGTCCATTCATGCCTTTCTAAATATGATTATTATCATTCCCTTGGGTTCTGAGTGGATGATAGAGGGTCTCAGCAACACATCTCCATTTCATCATGTTCTCTGCAGTTCTGCTTACCTGGCTCTGTGATTGCTTAGAAACTCCAATCTCCTCACACAGCCTCTTCCGTTCTACCCTCTCGAGGCTTTGCCTGAAGCGTAATGTTTTCCAACGGCTTTCTCAGCATGTAACTGATGCATTTCCATTTCCTTCGGCATATTTCTCAGGCAGTGGCATGTTGGTTGGCAGACTTCCTTGTTTCTAATCCTTCCGCAGCTGGCCGTTTGGCCTTCAATATGTGATCAGCGAAGTAGTTGGAGATGTTGACAGAAGTGTGAAGTGGCCTGTTGACAATGATTTTCGTGACACGCAAACTCTAAGTCTCTGAACACTAATGGACTAACTGACTGACTTGACATTAGGTCTGCAAATCCAAATCGTGTCGTTCATGCCTGGTGTAGTAGATTTGTTCATCACTGATTTCAAAGTGATTGAGGTGTGTCGTGTCTTTCCAATTCAGCTTGACTTTAGCATCTTCATCCGTGCTGTCGTTGGTTGAGTCGGCGCTGGTTAGACAAGTGAAAGGTGTGACTGAGTCGCATCGTGTCACCTCACCTTGACTGACTAGAAGGCAGTGTTTATTCACGAGTAAACTGTGGCATTCTCGTGATTCCGTTCATAAGATTATCACTGGGCCCTTTCGAGGATTATCTCGAACCACCTATGCTACTCCTAGCCATCCGAAAGTTGACAGGCTTGTAAACATTCCTCTCCTTCAGAAAATATTATCGTGGTATCTCGCCGCTCAGCTTGTCATGTTTCCGTTCCCATTTGGATCCGAGGTATCACTTAAGCAACCAAAGTGTGAAGTGGGTGTTGTCGGAAGTGCCAGTATTGACAGCTCATATCAAATATTGGGGCAGTGGAAGTGTTAAATTGATCTGTCGCCCTCCGTCTGCGCTTAGTTACACACATCCAGGTAGGGATCAAGGGATTTGATGACAAAGGCTCCAGATGTTTGCTAATGTGTGTCATTGCCTTTTGCAGAAGAGGCAAACCATTCCTCCTGCAGAGCAGTCAAAGTCTAGGAGATATCATGGAACTCATTTCATTTCGGTGCTGATTAAAATATCTCAGATATCACTGTGACCAAAACTTCAACTGTTGGTTCTCACTATCAACCATTGAAAGTTGAAAGTTGGCTGTTTGAATCATCCCTGGTTGAAGGCGGCAATCTACTCATCACTTTGACTGTGGCGTGGTAAGTGGTGTCATTCTATCTAATCAGTTCGCCTGCTAGATGCGTGCTAAATGGAGGAAAAAGAGGATGAGGAGGTTGAAACGCAAAAGGAGGAAAATGAGGGAAAGGAGCAAGTAATCAGACTGTCTTCTGAAACCTCTGTACTTCTGTGGAATGTCAAATAAACCTTTCTCACACTGATGTCTTCTTTGTGCTTTGGATAGTGGGGAACGTGACTAGTCTTGACCGTTGTATATAGCACCTTGTAAACCAATAAACTATCTGATTGACTGCGACTTCTGAGTTGTTTGTGTTAGTAGAGAGGTCATATATCTCGTCATTCTTACTGTAGGCTGAGGAACCAGAAGAAGAGGTTGAATATTTGGATGAAGACGTGGAGTGGATTGCAGATGAAGATCGGCCAGCGGACAACTCTGATGAATCGGCTAACGGTGAGTGGTGATGTCGACTTGAGAATATTTTTATTTAGGTCAGTTTATGTATTGCAGTAGATGTGTCAGGGACTCATGCTTTTATGCTTTCGGAGCTTGGCGTTGTAGATGTGGTCGGTATTGGCTGCTTAGAGATAGAATCCTCATTCATCAGAGGATATTTCCGTGTGGGGTTTGTTGAGTGCTTATCACTATTTGAGAGAGATGGAGTAGCAGGAGGAATGGGCTTTCAGTATCCTCTCATAGGTGGAATAAATCTAGGCGTTAGATGATACCCTGGAAGACACATGATATTTGCAGTTCTTGGGATGTCGAGATACACAGGTGTCTTTGCAGCCTATCAGGGAGCGGCCGCACTTCAGTTTGTCGTACATGTGTGTTAGTACAATACTGTGGTCCCGATGAGCATTGTCTCGTCAATACTATCCCTCCCTAGTGAGTGGCTGAGATCTGGTGTCCCATGGGTCGGCAGGACCATGTGTCCGGCGGTTATCGTATCGCAACCATTGGTTTGTTAGTTCAGGAGTGAGTATAAGTGCATCACATTGCAATCATTATTGTTAGACGTGTAGTTGTCATTAGGACCCGGTTCTCGAGTTGACTAGGTTGACTGTGCAATCCCTGGTGAGCCCTTCATCGTTGTAGGTCACTCAAAAACAGGTGGAGACGTCTCACACTATGCGACTTCCCATGTCCATTGTGGCCTTTGCTTAAGATTTGAGTGCTGCTGGCACTACACTACTTCACCGTGCTTCATTTTAAATTGTCGGTGTTATGGATGGTTTCATGAGATATTAGGCGGACAGTATGGACTGAATGAACTTGTGGAAATGCAGATCGACTGAGTGGTACAGAATTAGAGACGGGCTGGTGTTAAAACAGGTGTTGAGTGAAACCGGTGTCCCCATCGATCACAGTTCTATGGAATGTCAAGTATGTGAGTGATGGTTGCTTGAGGAGCTGGATTCAACTGCCATTTTGGTCATCCTCCAACATCAGGCCAGAGACAGTTCACAGTGTCATTGATATTTTAGCAAGCAGAGACACCAACTTCTGAGTCGACATTAAGAATGATGCCTCTGATATCCAGAAATCTCCTGAAGGATTACAATCTGGAGATATGTTGACATTTACGGGACTGCGAATAACAATGTGACTGGTTGAAGGTGTCTGAGTGTAGGCAGCACAGTGGTGGTATGTAGGGTAGGAAGTGCAGACAGACAGCATGAATTTAATGGTTGTAATACCGACATTCCAGTGTTGTGGATCTGTCTCTGTGGGCAGTGTTATCCGACCCTGGATAAGGTCGGTAGGCAGCTGGTAGTGATCAAATCAAAACTTGGCATCAATTGAAGAAATCGTGGGCAGCCAGTTTGAAACCCGTAGGCTGGAATGGGCTTTCTGGTTGAGACTCTCAGGATCCGAAGAACCGATGATTTGAGGGTGTCTCTAATATGGCTTATATGAGATCTCCAGTCTCTGTCCACGAAATGATTTCGGAGAGGATATTCAAACTTTTAAGTCTATCCCTGTAGGATAAATCACTGTTACCGTGAGTCGTTCGTGTGGTCATCCTCCAAACATCCATCTAGAAGACATTGTTCGAACAAGGGTTAGTTGGCTGGGTATAGCTTTCTAATGCCGACCTCACCAGAGATGTATATATTAAGTGAGGAAGGTTTCAGTGGTGATTCTGGTGGTGGTATTTTGTATATTGAGCATGTGGATTTGAAACCTTGGAATGCCAACGCGTGAGTGTGTCTTAGATTTTAGTCCATTATTTACTATGACACCTACATCTGTGTACTTCTGGACTGATGAGATGTCATTTCTGTACATTCCTCAGTCCATTCATGCCTTTCTAAATATGATTATTATCATTCCCTTGGGTTCTGAGTGGATGATAGAGGGTCTCAGCAACACATCTCCATTTCATCATGTTCTCTGCAGTTCTGCTTACCTGGCTCTGTGATTGCTTAGAAACTCCAATCTCCTCACACAGCCTCTTCCGTTCTACCCTCTCGAGGCTTTGCCTGAAGCGTAATGTTTTCCAACGGCTTTCTCAGCATGTAACTGATGCATTTCCATTTCCTTCGGCATATTTCTCAGGCAGTGGCATGTTGGTTGGCAGACTTCCTTGTTTCTAATCCTTCCGCAGCTGGCCGTTTGGCCTTCAATATGTGATCAGCGAAGTAGTTGGAGATGTTGACAGAAGTGTGAAGTGGCCTGTTGACAATGATTTTCGTGACACGCAAACTCTAAGTCTCTGAACACTAATGGACTAACTGACTGACTTGACATTAGGTCTGCAAATCCAAATCGTGTCGTTCATGCCTGGTGTAGTAGATTTGTTCATCACTGATTTCAAAGTGATTGAGGTGTGTCGTGTCTTTCCAATTCAGCTTGACTTTAGCATCTTCATCCGTGCTGTCGTTGGTTGAGTCGGCGCTGGTTAGACAAGTGAAAGGTGTGACTGAGTCGCATCGTGTCACCTCACCTTGACTGACTAGAAGGCAGTGTTTATTCACGAGTAAACTGTGGCATTCTCGTGATTCCGTTCATAAGATTATCACTGGGCCCTTTCGAGGATTATCTCGAACCACCTATGCTACTCCTAGCCATCCGAAAGTTGACAGGCTTGTAAACATTCCTCTCCTTCAGAAAATATTATCGTGGTATCTCGCCGCTCAGCTTGTCATGTTTCCGTTCCCATTTGGATCCGAGGTATCACTTAAGCAACCAAAGTGTGAAGTGGGTGTTGTCGGAAGTGCCAGTATTGACAGCTCATATCAAATATTGGGGCAGTGGAAGTGTTAAATTGATCTGTCGCCCTCCGTCTGCGCTTAGTTACACACATCCAGGTAGGGATCAAGGGATTTGATGACAAAGGCTCCAGATGTTTGCTAATGTGTGTCATTGCCTTTTGCAGAAGAGGCAAACCATTCCTCCTGCAGAGCAGTCAAAGTCTAGGAGATATCATGGAACTCATTTCATTTCGGTGCTGATTAAAATATCTCAGATATCACTGTGACCAAAACTTCAACTGTTGGTTCTCACTATCAACCATTGAAAGTTGAAAGTTGGCTGTTTGAATCATCCCTGGTTGAAGGCGGCAATCTACTCATCACTTTGACTGTGGCGTGGTAAGTGGTGTCATTCTATCTAATCAGTTCGCCTGCTAGATGCGTGCTAAATGGAGGAAAAAGAGGATGAGGAGGTTGAAACGCAAAAGGAGGAAAATGAGGGAAAGGAGCAAGTAATCAGACTGTCTTCTGAAACCTCTGTACTTCTGTGGAATGTCAAATAAACCTTTCTCACACTGATGTCTTCTTTGTGCTTTGGATAGTGGGGAACGTGACTAGTCTTGACCGTTGTATATAGCACCTTGTAAACCAATAAACTATCTGATTGACTGCGACTTCTGAGTTGTTTGTGTTAGTAGAGAGGTCATATATCTCGTCATTCTTACTGTAGGCTGAGGAACCAGAAGAAGAGGTTGAATATTTGGATGAAGACGTGGAGTGGATTGCAGATGAAGATCGGCCAGCGGACAACTCTGATGAATCGGCTAACGGTGAGTGGTGATGTCGACTTGAGAATATTTTTATTTAGGTCAGTTTATGTATTGCAGTAGATGTGTCAGGGACTCATGCTTTTATGCTTTCGGAGCTTGGCGTTGTAGATGTGGTCGGTATTGGCTGCTTAGAGATAGAATCCTCATTCATCAGAGGATATTTCCGTGTGGGGTTTGTTGAGTGCTTATCACTATTTGAGAGAGATGGAGTAGCAGGAGGAATGGGCTTTCAGTATCCTCTCATAGGTGGAATAAATCTAGGCGTTAGATGATACCCTGGAAGACACATGATATTTGCAGTTCTTGGGATGTCGAGATACACAGGTGTCTTTGCAGCCTATCAGGGAGCGGCCGCACTTCAGTTTGTCGTACATGTGTGTTAGTACAATACTGTGGTCCCGATGAGCATTGTCTCGTCAATACTATCCCTCTCTAGTGAGTGGCTGAGATCTGGTGTCCCATGGGTCGGCAGGACCATGTGTCCGGCGGTTATCGTATCGCAACCATTGGTTTGTTAGTTCAGGAGTGAGTATAAGTGCATCACATTGCAATCATTATTGTTAGACGTGTAGTTGTCATTAGGACCCGGTTCTCGAGTTGACTAGGTTGACTGTGCAATCCCTGGTGAGCCCTTCATCGTTGTAGGTCACTCAAAAACAGGTGGAGACGTCTCACACTATGCGACTTCCCATGTCCATTGTGGCCTTTGCTTAAGATTTGAGTGCTGCTGGCACTACACTACTTCACCGTGCTTCATTTTAAATTGTCGGTGTTATGGATGGTTTCATGAGATATTAGGCGGACAGTATGGACTGAATGAACTTGTGGAAATGCAGATCGACTGAGTGGTACAGAATTAGAGACGGGCTGGTGTTAAAACAGGTGTTGAGTGAAACCGGTGTCCCCATCGATCACAGTTCTATGGAATGTCAAGTATGTGAGTGATGGTTGCTTGAGGAGCTGGATTCAACTGCCATTTTGGTCATCCTCCAACATCAGGCCAGAGACAGTTCACAGTGTCATTGATATTTTAGCAAGCAGAGACACCAACTTCTGAGTCGACATTAAGAATGATGCCTCTGATATCCAGAAATCTCCTGAAGGATTACAATCTGGAGATATGTTGACATTTACGGGACTGCGAATAACAATGTGACTGGTTGAAGGTGTCTGAGTGTAGGCAGCACAGTGGTGGTATGTAGGGTAGGAAGTGCAGACAGACAGCATGAATTTAATGGTTGTAATACCGACATTCCAGTGTTGTGGATCTGTCTCTGTGGGCAGTGTTATCCGACCCTGGATAAGGTCGGTAGGCAGCTGGTAGTGATCAAATCAAAACTTGGCATCAATTGAAGAAATCGTGGGCAGCCAGTTTGAAACCCGTAGGCTGGAATGGGCTTTCTGGTTGAGACTCTCAGGATCCGAA